TATATATATATATATATATATATATATATATATATACACATATATATGTTAAAACAAGTTTTCATAATTTGATCCAATTGGAAATCCAAAATTTACATACAAAAAAATTTCTATAAAAAAGACACTGGCTTTGGTGCCTATACAACCTAGGTTCTAAAATAAAGTTAACATTTGCTAAAAATGCACCAACTGAGGTAACTTTAGGGACTTAATACTGGGGATCAAATTATAGTTTTAACTGGGGACTCCATTCACTTTAAATATTGCACCCCTATAACCTAAAGAAAGTATAATGATTAAGTAGAAAAAAGAAAATAATGACTATACCTCACTGTAAATGTAGTCTTTCCTAAATTTTCCATAGCTATAGTACCCATTGCCCTAAATATTCCATGTTGGCTATAGAAGCTCTCACATAATGAATAATGAAAAATGAAGTAAGTTTTTGACACTTAAAAATTGGCTTGATAAATGGGACCCCATGAACACCCACTAAAATAATGAATATGGCCCAAATTATTAATCCAGGCCCTTCAGGATTAAAATTTATAGAAAGCCTAGTCAATATAGGGGTGATTGTCCCCACTGCTTCACCAATTACAGCCCAATTTTGTTTGTTCTTAAATCTGGAAGAAAAGGGCACCTCTTGATGGGCTCCTAGAGCCTTAGTGCTGTGATCCTGTCCATCAAGGTCCCTTACCAATATTATGCAAATCACCCATTCTATTCAAACAACAACTGGTAAATATTTTGCTCTTGTAGGTTTGGCAAACATGTCTGTTCAGTTTCTATTTCAACAGCCTCTCCACTACAGTTTGCTTCCACCTCCAAAGGGACACAATACACCTTTTCAGGACTACCCCTGAGCTACCTCAACAGTTCTGCCATGGCACACAATCTGAAGATAAATCCTGACTACATCTTGACTACATCTTATCATGCCTCCAAAAGCACAGGCATGACACTGATGACATCCTCCCCCAGGGAGATTCATTTGATACACTTACTAATGACATGTAAGTCCGACATCTTTTCCTTTTGGGGTTTTGGTGCCAACGTATTTCTCATTTTCAAATTTTACTTCCAAATTAAAATCATCAGCCATTCCTGGTAGTGCCCTCAGAAACCTTTCTACTATAGAGGCTTTGGAAGCCTCTTCTGCCTCCATGAACCTGGACACTTATGATGACTAAGTTGTCCAAGGGCTTCTGGTACAAGAAACTGCCCCTCTCTTTCTTGGGTGTACAGTATTAGAACCACAATGACTGGCTAATTACTGGGCTCTTGGGAAATAGAGGCTCTCACAGACCCTGAGCTTTTGACCCTCCACACCCAACACCCATTATGCTTTGGGTCATGGAAACAGCACCCTGTAAGCTCAGCACAGCTACTTAGAGGCTCCCTAAGACAAGATGGAACCCAAACTATGCTCTTGCATATATTCTACCTACAGGAAGGGTGGCCTCCCCTTTACTTAGTCTTTTCCAGTTGCCGTGGTGCTGAAGGAGCTCACCTCTCCTCCAGATCCCCTGACTACCTGGGGAGCCCCTTGGGATTAACTGAGTGAATAGCAATGGGCATTAGTAGACTATGATGCAGTTCAGTGGATGGAACAGTGGACCATTGCAGCTTTCCATCCCTTAGTTAGGATATCTTTGATAAAGTGTGGGAACCAAGGACAACACACTTGGCCAAGCTGGAAGCCCTGGCCCACTATGGCCCCATCCTCACATTGATTATAAACTATTGGGCCATTACCTAAAGATTGTTCCCTTTAGGACAATAGAAGTAAAAGACTCTGGGAATTTCCTGACTCACAGATAAACAAAAAATAAATGAAAATCACACTTGCCTCTACATATCCTAAGGCCACACAATACAAGGCCTTGCCAGGATGCTTTTTATTCCATTCAGAGTTAAAAACATTACTAATTATAAACAAAACACACATTTTTATTTTTCAAAATACACAATGCTGGACTCTTAGAAGAGATATTCGATAAAACTTTTATGTCCCTAATAAGCTCCAGATAACTAGCTTCATTGAGTCATAGTAGTCTCCTCAAACAATTCCTTTCAAATTCCAGTCCAAAAACCAGACCCCCTAAAGTTCTTTATCTTGCCCCCATCCTCAACCTATTTATTTGTTTTCTTAAAAAAAATTTTTATTAGGTTCAGGTGTACAAAACAACAGTGATTAGACATTTATAAACCTCACAAAGTAATGACCCCAATAAGTCTATTACCTGTCTGACATTGTACAAGTATTTTTATAAATTTTTTATCTTGCCCCCAGCCCATGAAAACTGGAGGCCAGATGGAGGGCCCATACTTCCCTGGAATTTGTTAACCATAGACTATCCCACAGACCCAGGCAGCTGCTCATCTGATACGACTCCATTTGAACCTAAACGTTCACAAAAAACACCCCAAAAATCTTGTTAAGTACAGATGCACACCATTGTGTTAACTATGGATCTTGTTGCTACTGGTATGGGTGCTTTCACTGGTTAGCAATCCATTATCTGACTGTTGATCTTATCACTTATTGTCTGAGTACTTTTATTAATTTATAATCCAGAAGCCCAAACCTACAAATAATCCATTGTTTCAACTAAATGCTGAGGCCCACATCAACTTCAATGGGTACCCATTTGGAAAAGATACCCCAGACCCACATCACCCTGGCCCAAAATCTCACCACTGGCAATGACATTGCCTCAGATAACAGGACCAAACCCAGAGCTCTCCAATGGAGCTGACTTCACCTTTGTGCCAGAGATGGCTACAGCCAGACACTAAAACCTCCACCCCAGCAACGATCATGGGTTGCATAGCCTAAGACACAAATTTGACACAGGACATTTATTGCTTTCCTTCCTTTGATATAGGGATTCTATTACATTTCTGAGCTTGCTGTCTTCTTAGTCCTTGAATTTGGTATATTCCTAACCCTCCACTAAAACATCCACCCCTTACACTCCCATTCTGTCGCGTCCAGCGCGACAAGGGCTGGGGAATGCATGAGGGGTGGCACAGGGTTAAGAAATACAAGAGCCAAGTATTGAGTTCATGCGGCCCAGGGGTCTCAGGCCTCTAGGACTGAACTCCAAATCAGGCAGGTGCAAAGCTTTTATTCTCTACATTTACAAGGCAATAAATTCCAATCTGTTAATCCTGTGTACCTAGCAACTGTCTTCCGGGTGTTCCAGTGTGCTCCAGTACTTAATGTGTGCGCGCGCGCGCGCGCGCGCACACACGATCCCAGGAGATGGACTCAGCATTCCGAGACCAACTGATAAGGAAGCTTTACCGAGATCATTCCCTCGGGTCTCAGCATTCCGAGACACTTCCTTATGACTTCATGGGATCAGAGCGCGGGAGTAGTCAGCTAGTCAGTTGCGAGGCTACATCTCCCGCTTTCTGTTTCTGTGACAGGAGGAACACAGGCTTGGCAGTTTCTTGATTTACTGCTCGTTTGAAGGCTTGTTGTCCACAGTAGAGGACTAGATAAAATAAGAAAAGTCAAATCAATAAGATTATAAATGCACCCGAAAATCCTCTTTCAAGGGTGTTTACCCAAGTGAGGAGGTTTAAAGTAAATAGCTCCTCCACAGCCGTGGAAAGCGATTCCTCTCCTAGGAGGAGTTGATAATGGGAGCAATTCAATTGAGTGCAATTCCGGACTGCGACCCTCTGGGGGCCACAGCCTATTACAATTCCATAGGAATCATTAAATAGCACCCAATCCCTGTGCCCTCGACACTCTTCCCAGTGTGTATAGGAATGTCCATCAATCCAGTTACTTTGATGGGTACAAGGAGAAATGAGGGGAGGATAGCGCTGAGTGTTCTCCTCCTGAATTTTGAATCCCTTACCAGAAATCAAAAATATATCTTTAAAGGTGTTTCCTTTCCCTCTGGAAACGGTCCAGGTTTCATGGGAAAGTGAGAGACACGGAGGTTTGAAACCAATGCAGATAGGTGTGTTCAAATATCCTAGGGCTGTATGATTGGAAAGGGGAAAGCTACAGCCCTCTTCCCCTGGAAACTCTGGACCTCTCAGATCCTCAGGTCCAGGAAACCAAGAACTATCATTAATATAAATTATTGGAGGATCTTCACTCAAAGTTAAGGGAGTTAATAAAGGAGGATTTGGCATATAATCTTTATAATTTGGCATAAAATAGGATTTACCTATTTACCCAATAGGTAAAATTAGCTGCTGCAATGCCTGGCAAAAGACAATTTACAACTGAGATGTCTGCAAGCATTGATACCAGCATATTGGTGTCAGTTTTAGGTATGCCTTTGTTATCCAAATTGCTTTCCACCATCTGAGACAACATTTTCAATTGCCCCCATGTGGGAGGTTGAGCTTTCTCCATCTTGGGAGTGCGTCTTCTGGGGGGTGCACCGATCTGGGTGGTTTTCAGCGTGGTTGTCATCAATAGACCTGACATCTGAAACACTGGAGGCTCCATGTCTGCTATCTAGGTAAATCTCCTCTTCCACAAACCGTTCTCATGGTTAGGTTTAACACACCTGCCAGGCATCCACAAAGGCCGTTCCTCAGAAGCTGTTGAAATACAAGCAAAGCCTCGTTCCCATGTCAAGAGAGTTCTTAGATGCCATTGATTAGTTAAAATATCTTTCCACCAAATTGGCACGTTTCCCAACGGCTTTGGGCTTTGGAGACTATTAAAATGTCTTTCTGCTGCAGTCCGCCCGATATGAGACTCTGTGTTTGAGCCAGAGGAACTCAAAAAATTTAAAGTAAACATAGCTTTTGCTAATTGTATCTGAGGGGTTTCTCTGATGTCTCCCCCTTTTTGTTTCTGTAACTGTTTCTTTAAAGTGGAATTACCACGTTCAACAATGGATTGACCCTGGGGATTATAAGGGATCCCAGTGGTATGAGAAATTTGCCAAACAGCTCAGAATTGCACAAATTTAGAGCTTGTGTAAGCAGGGCCATGGTCCATCTTGATAGAACAAGGCAGGCCCATAATGGAAAAGCAAACAAGTAAATGGCGACAGAAATGTGCGGCAGTTTCACCACTTTGAGCAGTGGCGGCTAGAAAACCAGAGGCAGTGTCCACAGTAACATGAACAAACGATGACCGCCCAAAGCAGTGGTTCTCAACCTGTGGGTCGCGACCCCTTTGGGGGTCGAATGACCCTTTCACAGGGGTCACCTAAGACCATCCGAAAACAGAAAGATATTTACATTGATTCATTACAGTAGCAAAATTACAGTTATACAGTAGCAACAGAAATAATTTTATGGTTGGGGGTCACTACAACATGAGGAACTGTATTAAGGGGTTGCACGCGGCATTAGGAAGGTTGAGAACCGCTGGCCCAAAGGAAGGGACATGAGTCACATCTATTTGCCAGATGACATTGGAGACTAGGCCCCGAGGATTAACTCCTTCAGGAAATTCTTGTGGAGCATTGAGAATCTGAAAAGTAGGACAAGTTTGTACACTGTGATGAGCCTGTTTGTTTGTGATAGCAAAACGGGAATGGAGACCGCCCACATTAGTATGAGTTAATGAATAAAAATGTGTTGCCTCAGCAACATGGCCACTCCCTACTAAGCAATCAGCAATTGTATTGCCTTGTGTCAACGGACCAGGTACGGTAGTATGCGCATGAATGTGCATAATAAAGAAGGGGTGCTGACAGTTTCTCACAATCTGCGGAAGCTGAGTAAATAATATCTAAAGAGACTGATTGGAATTATTAGAAAGAGACGCGGTTTCAATATTTTGCACTGTATGCACAACGTAGGCGGAATCAGAAACAATATTTAAAGGATTGGGAAAAGTTTGCAAAGCAGTTAAAACAGCCACCAACTCAGCCTTTTGGGCTGAAGTGTCGTTTGTGTGTATAAGCTGATGACCCTTCTCACTGACAATTGCTGCTTTGTCATTGCTAGATTCATCAGTGAAAAGTGTAAGGCCCTGAGAAATAGGCGTCTGCCTAAGTTTTTTAGGTAAAATCCAATTACTTTTTGTAGAAACTAAAACAATTTGTTTATAGGATAATGATTGTCAATAATCCCATAAAAGTCACTAATGGCAATCTGCCAAGACTCAGCATGAGTATTTAAATGAGATACTTGTTGTTTTTTAAACGGGACTACAATTTGATTAGGCTCACTTCCATTAAGATAAAGGACTCTGCTCGGAGCTTGTGATATGAGTTCAGAGATTAATTCTACATAGGTAGGGACTGACTTAACAAAATTATTAGGAAGAAACAGGCACTCTACCAGGTCATCCTGTTGAACAACTACCACCGTAGGCGAATGTGGAGTCGGAAAAATCAAGACCTGTAAGGGTTGCACAGGGTTAATTCGCTGAATTTGAGCTTCTTGTATTTTTTGTTCTACTAGCTCCAACTCTTGACTGGCCTAAGGAGTCAGCATGTGAGGGGTATTCGGCTGAGGTGATCCTCCCAAAAGACCCAACAAATGACTGCGGGCATATGTAGGGATGCCCATTGTGGGACACAACCAATTAATGTCCCCCAATAATTGTTGCAAATCATTCAGAGTAGAAATTTGATCTCTTCTAATTTGAACCTTTTGAGGTCGGATAGACTGTCTATCTACAACAGCACCTAAATACTGCACCAGTGTGGTGGTTTGCATTTTATTTGGAGCAATGCAAAGTCCTGCTGAGTCAAGTTGCTTTTTAAGTAATTCAAATCATGCTCTCAACTGTTCCATAGAGGACTCAGCGCAGAGAATGTCATCCATATAATGAATGATATAACAATCTGGAAAACTTGTTCTCACTGGCTTAAGAGCTCTGGCTATAAAAAGCTGACATATAGTTGGACTGTTGAGCATCCCTTGTGGGAGCACTTTCCACTGATATCTTTTCACAGGTTTCTTATTATTAGTTGAAGGAGTAGAAAATGCAAATCTAGGGCAATCTTGGAGGTGTAAAGGGATCATATAAAAACAATCCTGTAAATCAACAACTATCAGAGGCCATTTTTTTGGAATCATAGAAGGCTGTGGGAGTCCAGGCTGTAAAGCACTCATGGGCTCAATGATGGAATAGACAGCTCAGAGATCAGTGAGCATTCGCCATTTTCCTGATTTTTTTCTTAATAACAAATACTGGAGAATTCCAGGGACTTGTAGAAGGTTCTATATGATCTTGTTCTAATTGAACCTGTGCTAATTCTGTTAAAGCCTCTAACTTTTCCTGAGAGAGGGGTCACTGTTTTATCCAGAGAGGCTTATTACTTGTCCACTCAAGAGCTATGGGAGTCCATAGTTCTGCAACAGTGGCCCCTACAAAAAAGGCTTTTGATCTTTTGTTTGATAACCCAGTCCTTCTCATCCTTGTTGGGGCAAGGGCTGAATAGGTTGAGTAATCCCCTGGTTAAATTTTCCTAAGCCTCTTCCAGGCTGATATCCCATATGACTCATTATCTCCTGACTTTGAGGACTATATTGCCCTGGGGGGATCCAAACCTCTGCCTCCCATTGTGTAAGTAAATCTCTAACCCTGTAAATTAACTGGAATGTCTGCAATATAGGGTTGTAAAAATCCTTTTTGTCCCTCGGGGCTGAGGCAGGGAAGAATGCAGAGACACTCTGGCGCAAGCCTGAAGCTCCGACCACCCCCACAATGTAAATCTTTGGTTCTTGTACCTTCCAATTTGTTGGCCATTCTTGAGAACTAATTATAGAAACATTAGCCCCTGTATCTAAAAGACCTTTAAAGTTTTTGCCTTGAATTTCAATTTGACAAACAGGACGAATTCCTGATATCTTTTCTGCTAGAAATATACCTGCCTGTCCTGTACTTCCAAATACCCCGGTTCCCCTTTTTTGCATTCCCTTTTTTCCTGGGAAAATATACGGGAGCAGAAGTAATTGTGCAACTCGTTCTCCCTTCTTTTCTGACCAGGGAACTGATGAAGACATTATAATTTGAATTTCTCCTTCACAGTCAGAATCAATTATTCTATTTTTCTTCCTGCACTCTTTTTAGTATGACCAGATTTCCCACAATATAACAACTGCAGGGAAATCTATTTTGTTCAAATCTTATTCCTGCTATGGCTTGGGCTAACATCGTGGCTTTGTATTGCTCCGTTCCAACTCCTTGACACAAACAAATATATCCTGACAGATCAGTCTTTCCTTTCATGGGCCCAATACCCTTTTTACAGTCATCATTAGCATTACCAACAGCAAGGATTTGTTGAATCACTTCAGCTGCTTGTAAGTTAGATACTTGTTTTTTCATTGCATCTTGCAAACGGGCCACGAATTCCGTATACGGTTCCGTAGGACCCTGCAGGATTTTTTGAAAAGACTTTGGAGCCTTACCATCTGCCTCTATTTTTTCCCATGCAATTAAGCAAATCCTTCTTAATCGAGCTATAATCTGATCATCCATGGCTAAGTGATTTTCAGTGCCTTCCCAGTTACCAGTCCCTAGGAGCTGATCCTGAGAAATGGCAATGTTATGGGCCTGGTTATGTCTACTTTGGGTTTCTGCTCCATCTGTCCACCAAGTTCTGAATTGCAAAAATTGAGCAGGTGAAAGGCATGTCTGAGCCACTGCAGCCAATCAACAGGAATCAAACGATTTCCATCAGCCAGGCTACGAACAATGCCTATAGTGTATGGCGAAGTAGGGCCATACTGAGTTATAGCTATTTTTAATTCTTTCAGTATTTTAAAAGGCAAAGCTTCATATTGATGTTCATAAACTCCATTAAGATTTTGAGGATTAGCGCCAGGTGCAACCCCCTCATGAATGATAACAGGGAAAGCTAAAGTGTCCAAATCTCCCTTCAATCATACTTGCCGGACACCTCTTTCTACTGCTGAAAGTGGCACAAGGGAACCTCTCATGAGAGGGGGAGGTGGGCGAGAAGTGGAGAGGAGAGGGTTAACACTTTTCACCATCGGGCCTGGGAGTTCCCCACTCCCATGCAAACGGTGGGTGGTGACAGGGCGGAGGTAAAGGGGCTGGAGGTGAACTACAGCCCTCTAGACAGTTTCCCAAAGTTGCAGACAATGATTTCAGGATAACTGTGGGTGCCTCCACAGATTCCTTCTCCCTGCCTTCAGGTTTCTCCTCCTCATTGTCGGATCTTGGGTCGTAGTTCTTCCGCGTCAGTTTGCAAATTTTCTAAAACTGATCGGACTAGTTACCAGGTTTTCCAAATTGTAACCGGCAGAGAAACTCCTTTAGGACATAACTCACGGAGTTCAGTGCCTACTTCCATGTTTTAAAATCTAATGTCCCTAAAGTTGGAAACCAAGAACAATGAGTCTCGATGACTTTTTTAAAAAAGCTCCTCTAATTTCTGTTCTGACACCCGAACTCCTCTAGCCTTGAGGAGTTGCTTGAGTAAGCAAATATAAGGTCTGTATTGGCTAGCAGAATGGCCCATTCCCCTAGTTAAAATTTCCGGGATCTTCCCTACCTTGTTCCGTGTAGTTGTCGCGACGCCTCCCGGGCCCTGTGCCGTGCATTTTCCGTTCAGTCCCAACTCGCAGTCGTCCTTCCCTCTCGCGGGCCCCCGCGTTGGGCCCAGATGTTACGTTCCGCGTGACAAGGGCTGGGGAGTGCAAGAGGGGCGGCGCAGGGTTAAGAAATACAAGAGCCAAGTATTGAGTTCATGCGGGCCAGGGGTCTCAAGCCTCTATGACTGAGCCCCGATTCAGGCGGGCACAAAGCTTTTATTCTCGAAATTTACAAGGCAATAAATTCCAATCTGTTAAGTCTGTGTACCTAGCAACTGTCTTCCGTGTGCTCCAGTGTGCTCCAGTACTTAATGTGCCTTCACACACACACACACACACACACACACACACACACACACACACACACACACACACACAGACCATCTGATAAGGAAGCTTTACAGGGATCAGACCTTCTAATAAGGAAGCTTTACCGGGATCATTCNCACACACACACACACACACACACACACACACACACACACACACACACACACACACACACGACCCCAGGAGATGGACTCAGCATTCCGAGACCTTCTAATAAGGAAGCTTTACCGGGATCATTCGGGTCTCAGCATTCCGAGACACTTCCTTATGACTTCATGGGATCAGCGGGCAGGAGCATTTGGCTCGTCAGTTGTGAGGCTACACCATTCCTAGTGGGAAATCTGGTAGAGGTTACTACTATCTCTGCCACTCTAAAAATTAATGGAAATTATTGCTCCCCCAAGAGGTATCTGCCTCATGTCAGTCAAGCCTTCGCCCCTAGGGAGAGGACTGCCCACTCCCTGATGTTGTTTCCCACTATGCCCCTCCAGCTTTACCCCACAATCTGACCAGGACCGCCACAGCCTCTTTTTCCCTTTGGTTAAATACAGTACCACATTCTCATTGGAACATTATGCTCTAAATAATGGCACTTTCCGGTTCTGTTGTGCCCCAAACTCCTCACAGGCACAGCACCTTGTGTGTTTTTCTTTTCTGCGCGCCCCCCCCCTCCCCCGCCCCTATTTTCCTAATGAAGTGTTTACACTGAGGATTCCCACAGTTCTTCATCAGCTGGGTTCCAAGCCCTGTCATATGCTCATAGGACTCTTCCTAGTTGTCCCCTTTGTCAAAGTTTGCCTACTGTGGCTAAGTCAAGCTGTCCCATTCATCTTTAACATCTCCACAACCCAGGTGGCAACTGGCACCCATCCCAATTAGTGTTGTTAATGATATTGAGGCATCACAGGATAGATTGTATTGCAAATTTTTAAAATTTCAATTTTTTTTTATTCTTCAACCTCCCCACTAATGAGCTGAGAGTACCCTGCCCAGATGACCAAGTGCACCAGTGTCACAGGTTGGTCCCTGCCAAATGTTCCCCATCTTTTTCTCCTCTGACTATGACCTAATGACATCCAAACACAAACACACTAATCAAATCCCTTCATACCATTTGCTGTATACTCCCACCTGACTCCCAAGAAAGGCACTTTCCCATGTGTCCTCACTCTCTCTCCCCGGACTCCCTGTGTGCTTGTTGAGTCCAATCCCTGGGTGCTCCTTATATACCTCCCTTCCTGGGGTGCAGGGCCTCCCTCCTCTAGGACATATGAGTATAACAAATCCTTTTATTTAATATGCCTCTGCAAGTGTAATTCCTGCAGCCCAGTTGGAATGATTCTTAAAGTTCTGACAAGGGGACTTACTCCCCATTTATGGCACACATACATACTGTGAATCATAATTTGTGATGAAACAATAGGTGTAAACTCAGTTTGCTTTCATATCTCACAAGTAGGAGGTTGAAGATTTTGAGTCCAGTATGTTTATTCAGGAAGAAGACTTCATATAGGGTTATAGAAAAGACAGATATTAGATGTCAGGCATCCCTGGGAGGGGAAGGAAGGACAGAACATTTCAGGTACCATCAAAAAATATGCCTCCCACCTATATTCATCAGGGCTCAGATTGCAATCCCAGGAGAAAAAAAATAATTAAATTTCCACACCATATTTATCAGATTTTCTACCAAATATTCTATTTACCTAAAAACCTGTGTTTTTGCCTAAAAATGTCCATTTACCAAATTACATTTCCTGCGGGGACAGTGTCTCTTCACGGTCACTGAACACATGTAGAAATGGAGCATTTTATCCATGAGATAAAGGTTTGGGCCACCATGAAGTCAGCTCTTTCCTGGGTAGTGATTATCATTTCATGTGTAAATGTAATGAACATATCTGCACATGGATTTGAAAAAACAAACATTTTTTAAAGAAAAAAATAAACATTTGCAAAGTGTTTAAATTACTGACTGCTATTAATAGGGACTAATTAGTTTCTGCAGAGAGAGATGAGGCAGAGACAGCTAGGCTGAGGCATATTTGTAATACCTGAAAAGGATCTGATGAAAATGACAGGTGAGATTTCGGCAGTAAGGCCTAGGAAGTGAGGGAAGAAAGCTGAGAACAAGGCTGAACTATGTTTCTGGCCAACCTGAGGGTTTTGTCTCCCAAATATGATTATGTTTTATTTCTGAAAAACACGTACAATAACAATCTTGAAGAGGAAAAGAAATGTTGGTAAGTGAGAAAAAATTGCCAGAGTGTTAGACATGAACCTGGAGAAAGGGAGAAACCGATTGTCAATATATCACAATGTTATTCTCGGTGTCTGAGAAAGATCATGAAAGAAAACTGGCACCAAATCAATTAGGAAGAAAGAGTAGTGCAGGAGTGGTGTTGGATGAGATCTTAAGTAGGATGATAAGGAGAGGCCTTACTGATAAGATATGCGAGGCAAGACTTGAAAATAGATGAGGGAGATAAGCATGTGAGTAGTTGGGGAGATGTGATCAAAGCAGAGGAAATAGGCACAGCTGTGTTCCAGCCAGGCCTGGCAGCCAGTGCACATGGAACTAGGAGAGTAAGGGGGAGATTGTTAGAGGAGAGGTTAGAGAGGCAACCTCAGGTCAAGTCCTGTGAGGTTCCAGAGGACTCTGCAAAGATTTTGCCTTTTCTCAGAAACATTGAGAAGCACTGCAGGGTTTTAATCAGAGGACTGTCATTTTCTATTTTTCCCCCTCTCCCCCTTCCTTACCCAACCCCAGCTCCGAGCTGTTGTTCTCAGTCTAGTTGTGGAGGCTCACTGACCCATGTTGGTATTATGAGCATTGCGCTTCACCTGGCTGAGGCAGTCAGTCACCGGCCGTTGGTCTGCCGCTCACAGCGGCTCATGGCAGCTCACCACAGCTCTCGCCAGCTGCCGGCCACTCACGGCAGCCCACAGCAGCCCACGGCAGCTCACAGCAGCTCTCACAGGCTGCCAGCCGCTCACACCAACTGCTGGCCACTCAAAGCAGCCCAGCTCCAGGTTGAGCCATGGTTCAAAATCTTAGCTGTAGAGGGTGCAGTTTACTGGTGCAGCTTACTGGCCCATGCGGGAATCGAACTGGTAGCTCTGTTGTTCAGAGCTTGTGCTCTTACCAACTGAGCTGTCTGGCCGCCCCCAAGACTGTCATTTTCTGACTGTACATGGAAAGTGTCATGTTGGCTGGTGAGTTGAGTTGATCATTTTTCTCTTTTTTCTTCTGGTGAACTTCTTCTGGGGCTTAGGTGAGAGAGACATGTTCACATCTTTTCCTTTTCTAGCTTAAAGTTGTGTTCTACACTCTGTCTCTCCATTCCCCTTTTCATTGCGGGCACCACCCACTGCCAATGGGCTTCTACATAGAGTTCCTTTAGGAATACCATTAGCATGGGTCAACAAGAGTTTATGGTCACTAAGCCTTTTAAAAATAGCCATCCTAATATCTTTTGATGCTTTTAGGCTTTTTTTTCTTGAAATAGCAATACTCAGAAAGCTGTCATTACTGATGTAGCACTTAAAAACTTCCCAAATCCTAGTCAAGGACTTTATCTAGATCCTCTAGCTGTCCTCCATTCCAGCAGACCCTTGCCCTCTTCTGTTACTTGCCTGTCCTACTTGGTGTGCCTAGCTTAATACGACCACTAAAATCTCAAGAATGCCAAATCTATTTGTTACTTTATAAAGTTCCCCCAGGGTTACTTAGGTCTATATTCTGACATTTTTTATACAAAGAATAAAAAAACATTATTTAAATTCATTTGACAACACCTGTTTCCTAAATCTAAAACAAATCTCTTATGGGTTCCCTTATGTTGAAATGGAAATGATGTCTCACCTCAATTTTGGGTTAATCACTTCATTAATGCCACCTAAGGATGACTTTTCCATGTCTTACCTTCTGAGTAGTTTTCTTCTTGAGTTATCCAGTTTCTTGACGGATAAACCACCCATCCCTGACCTTTAGTCTCTTTTAAAAATAACATCAATAAAGTTTGTGTCCTTCATAAAATAACTACCCTATGATCCAGTATATTTTTCTGTTCTACAATTTATCTCCCTCTCCCTTTATGGCTAAACTTTTATATGCATTTTCTCTCTCATTTCTATTTCCTCAACTCCTATGTAGTTCTCTACTCATTCAAATGAGTTTTTGTTGTTGTTGTTGTTGTTGTTGTTTGTTTTTTTTTAGCTGAGCCATCCCGCCACCTGTTGGCAGCTCACGGCTGCTCAGCTCGGGCTGACTCGAACCACTGTTGCTCAGAGCTCAAACTCTTGAGCGAGCTCTTAACCAACAAATGAGTTTTTATCTTCACAACTCTTATCATCATTGATGCACTTTTAAACACAACAGTAACATCTAACATTTTCCTTCAGTTTCCTTTAATCAGTTTTTGACACCATTGTTTTTTTTCTTTTCTTTTTGCATTCTTTACTAAATATGCTGACCTTTTTTAAAATGCAGTCTTTTAATATTGTAATGGATGAGCTCAATCAGCAGGCATTTTTTTCTTTACAACTTAAACACATTGTATTGGTGACCTTATACAATGGCATGGTTGTAAATATCATAAGCTCAAAACTTCCAAATAGGGACCGGCCAAGTGGCGCGTTGGTTAAGAGCTGGCTTGGGACGCCAGAGGGCCCCAGTTCGGATCCCACATATGAGGACCAGTGACACTGCCCTCTACA